ATGCTTCACAAATAATATGGAAACAATCCAGGGACTTGGGGTTCTGGAATCAGCAGTATTAAACTTCCCATCCTGGCAACGTGCCGATTAACAGAGTCCCATTAAAGCAGCTGACCTTGCCCGCAACGCTTTGGGACTCCACGCGGGCACAGGATGTCCCACATCAACCCCATCATCTTCATAAACAAGGTCTTGCAAAACCAGGCTCAGGTTTTTTTCTGGGATAAGCCCTAAATCAGGTTTTCCCTTTAAAAAAAAAGCTCCTCAAGAAGCTTGGCAATTCAACATCTGACTTGGAGACACTTAAAATTACTGGGCCACCTCTTGTGAAATGAAACCTAATTAAATATTTGGCTTCACAGCAGAGGTGGAGAGTAACTACCTCTTTCCAAGAATTTGGTTTCAGATCTCTAAACATCCTCTTGTTTTCAAGTCCAATGATTTCAGAAGTGACATTATGTTCCTAAAATGTGTTTGGCATCAAGTAAAGAGATATTGGCACTAAAGAATTTTCAGAGAGGCAAGGGAACCAAGTCATTGCCTGTTTTACCCTGCAGCTAACAACACTTCGTGGTTGCATGGACTTTTGACCCAAAATGCAAATAGAGCCCAAGGGAAACAACTCAAATTTGCTATTTATCATTCCTCATTTTTCCTTCCAATGGTGAATTCAGGTTTTGGATTACTTCTCAAATTCTGCCAGTCAGTCCAAAGGCCAGACAGAGCACATTCTCCTTTGAGCTTATCTCTACCAACAAGCCAATTCAGCACCAGCTGCAATGACTACAAAATCCTACCATTAGAAGCAGTCTAGCAGAATTTGGTTCATATTTGGGCTTCACAGGTAAAATACTGAATGACAAGACTGTTGTGTTACACCAAATATATTTTCCTGTATTAAAACATCAAGTCCTTTGGACACAAAAATAAATGTCTTATAAACCCACATATATAATTATATAAATGCTAATATGGTAGCCTTTGGCTCATCATTACCTCCCTAAACTCTGACCCTCTCACAGCAACAGGAAGATCTTATTAAAGGTCCAGGCAAATATTTGAAGAAAAAACATTTTGGTATTCAGAGATGCAAAGTTCTTTATCAGAGCTATGATGAAAGACTTATTTAAGAGCTTCTGCACATTGCTTTGAAAAGTGAAGGAATGGGAAGAGTATGAAACTGAGGGAGAGCATGACTTTAGGCTTAAAAACAGAGTAAGGGGAGGAAAACATTAAGAAGTGCTCCTAACCCTATAACTAAGTTGTGTTGTTATTTACCATCTACATTTTTAAACACTGTTAAAAGCTTCTTTTGACAGTCCTTTAGGGAAGAAATCTGTGTAAAGTGCTTTAAAGTGCAATTTATTAGAAAAATTGTAATAGACTTCTGGATGTGGAACAATTATTGGACCCTTGACTATCAGCAGAAGTCTAATCCCACGCCAGGGTGGTGACCTGGAAAACAGCAGTATTTCAGAAGGCTTGAAGAAAGTATGTAAAGAGGGAAAGATCTACCATGGTACAATACCCCTGTCCTGCTGCCATTCCCCTCAGTTCAGTAATTTCAAAGGACCGGGAGTGGGAAATGCACTGCCTGTATACACTGAGCAGTGATGATTCTGGAAGTAGCCATTAGTTTTCAAAGAGAGACTTCCCCACTCCAGGAGATGGGACAAAGACACCTTTGTTTCCTGTATTTGGGCAAACAGGGGTTTACACTTACTTTTGCTAAAGCAAAGTTGAGAGAAAAGAGCCCACAGCTGACAGGTCCTGGCTCCTTGCAGCCTTCCTGCTCTACCAAAGCATCCACAGACCATGGACAGCATTAAGGTAAGCTGCCAATACCTGAAATTCTACCCCAAGTGATTGATACCTGCTACCAACTAAAGGTTTTACACAGACTTCTAGACACAAGCGTGGAATGAAAAGTACAGAACTACAGGAGTTTTCCCCCAAACTGCCCTAATTCTGCTTCTCTATTCTTACCTCCCTCCACCCGAGTAAGACACACAAGAGTTCTCTGCATGCCCCAGTAATACTTAACATTGTTGAGGATATCACCATTAGATAGAAACTATGGAAAGTTTGGAATGGGCAGAAACTATGCCAACAGCTTTACTCCTTGTACACCACAGCAAAGACAACTGGTTTCCCACACTCATTACGTTACTTTTTTAAGCGCTAGTGGCAGAGCATGTTTTACACACAGCCTGCTCTACCCTGCCAGCTCCACCTCAAAGCCTTTCAGGAGATAAATGCTTACTCTGCATGATCTACAGTTATCATCCACCTGAGCTTTATAAAATGAAAAATAAAAACTTATGAGCTGGAAGAAAGTTAGGGTGTAAGAGAGCATTATCATTGAATCAACCAGGTTGGAAAAGACCTTTAAGATCATCAAATCCAACTATCCCCCCACAACTGTCAAGCCACCACTAAACCATGTCGCTAAGGGCACACTGATCTCCCCTCAAGATCTCCACTCACAGTCACCCCCCCATCTGCCCTCTCATTGTGGCCTATGCTATATAGCTGCCTCCTGTAGCCCTCATGGCCCCTCAGGATCTCTTCTCATGGCCACCCATCATGCCCCATGGCTGCTGTTCACCCCTCTTGGCTGCCCCTGCTCTCCCCTCACAATCTCCACTCACCCCTTGTTGTGGTTTAATCCCAGACAGTAATTTGGAACCACGCAGCCGCTCGCTCGCTCCCCACCTTCCCGGAGGGATGGGGAGGAGAATCAGAGGAATGTAACTCCCACGGGTTGAGATAACAGCTCTCCAGTAACTAAGGTATAATACAAACCACTACTGCTACCAATAATAATGATAAGAGGAATAACAAGGGGAGAGGACACAACCGCTCACCACCCGCCGACCGATACCCAGCCCGACCCGAGCAGCGATCTGGGCCTTCCGGGTAACTCCCCCCAGTTTATATACTGGGCATGACATGCTGTGGTATGGAATAGCCCTTTGGCCAGTTTGGGTCAGGTGTCCTGTCTCTGCTTCCTCCTGGCTTCCCCTCCTCCCTGGCAGAGCATGAGACTGAGAAAGTCCTCGGTCAGAGTAAACATTACTTAGCAACAACTAAAAACATCGGTGTTATCAGCATTGTTCCCAGGCTGAAAGTCAAAACCACAGCTCTGCACCAGCTACTAAGAAGGAGAAAAGTGACTGCTGCAGCTGAACCCAGAATCAAACTTAATTGGCTACCCATCCTTTCCCCTCACAATCTCCACTCATCCCTCATGGCCCTGTTTCTTGATTTCCAAACACCAATGCATTTTCTATTCATTCTGAATAGATCAGCCCTTACTTTTCAGGCTGTGCAGTGCAAATTTTTCTCCTACTTTGAGGGTTTAATGTATTTATTGTTAATTTAATGAAATTTAGGTTTAATACGTTCATTACTACACTATGTTTTTAGTGGCACATCCTTTCCCCACTCCCCAATATTTAGAGACTGAAAATTATTTACATTTAATATTGGTGATGAGAGAAACATAAAGGGTTTGGAGTTTTATTACTTATCTCATACTAGCAAGAACTGTTCAATTGAGGAGCTTCATTTCTTCGCATGGTACTAGCAAATCTACAGCAACTAAAGAATCAAACTATTAAATACCAGATTGTGACAGTTCAAAAAGCCTCAAAGTCCTCAGAACATCTCTGAGGAATCCTCCTATCTCTAATAATAACAATTCCTATACAGATGTTCCACCGACACCTGACCAAATAAGCTTCAGAGAGTAACTTTAAAAATGTGTCACAATAATGCTGAACTCTGTTCTACACAAAGGTTTTCACACTGCTTTTTGCCCATTTTCTTTACTGAACTCTGCCAGAGTTGTGCAGAAAGCAAGAACATACCACATTAAGAGTTCTTCTTAATCCCATGGGCTTCTTATCACTGCAATATCACTCTGTCATTCCTTACAGGGAGAAGACATCTCCCTCCAAATAATAGTGTGTATCATTCAGCTCACAAGTAAATATCAAGTTTGATCTTAAGTTTGTTTAGGCTACTTTCCATGCCTAGTACTTCATCTTTCAAAGTTTATAAATTGTGTACCAAGGGTTATAAAAAAAAGTATTTGAAAATGGGATTGTTTTCCAGCAGATACCTTTTACAGATAGGCAAAGAGTTCTGAATAATAATTTTGTTTACCAAGTGCCAAGCAACACAAATTCCCATTTGCCACACCAGAACGATTCCATTAGTTCACATCTGTCTGAAATAGCAAAACACATGTTTCCCCACAAATGAATTTCAGATCAACAACTTCACATTCATCACATGGTTGAAATAAATCCATCACAGCCTGTGGTATAACTTATTTTGCGGTGGGTACACAGCAAACTGAGCAAGACAGGTTTTTGCTGGTAGGCAGAGTACTAAGAAGATCCTGATTTATCAAACATTTTTAAATGAGTAAGCAAATCCAATCTTAAGCAAGATAAGCAAAATTTGATATCAAAGATAAGAATAGCCATTCCTGCAGTTTTCTACCACTGACACCCCTGTGGGGTTTAGCCATTGTAGGACTGATTATTGTTCTCACCACACCACTGGACAGGGGAAAAACATCCTACATGGTGAAGAAAGCTGTATTTGCAATGCTTTAGAAGTAACAGGTTACCAAATAAACAATGTTTTAAATGGTTGGTGTTTAAGGCATTAAACCTCAGATCACCAAAGTATAAGAACATTCAGCAGTCTTGGAGTAGTGTGTCTTAAACAGCTATTCTATTAAAATCCATAGCCTCAAGAGAGTTCCAAAAACCTTTAAATGCAAAAAGGATGCTGTTAACACTTAAAGTTAATGCACATACTGTGGCAGTGCAATTTTTTACATAGCCTGAAGAGCCAGAGCTCACAAACTAGCAGCGATATGAATAGGTATGATGGGCTTCATTGCTCCAACATGCAGCACCTTTGAAATACTAACAATATGCAACATTATTTCTCCTGCAGATATTATATACCAGAAAACATACCTCTATATCCTGTATTATCTTTGGGTATAAGGACCTGTAAAATGAATTTGGAGGGCCGTCTGTTGGTCTGTTTTTAAACAGGTACTGATCCCTAGAAAGAACCAGAAACATATTTTTCAATGTAGCACAAAGAATCCAAACTTTAAAGGAATTCAAAGTCTGCACAAACAAAACCTGGTGACATATTCACACAGAGTACTTGTAGGAAGTTTTCGTATTGCTGTTACAACCCTTGTTACAATTTGACAGCTTTATTTAAAATGTCCAAGACTAAAAAGGGAACAGGTGTTTTCCTTATGGTTTTCCAAATTAGGGTTCACTGTTCCATAAGGCTTTTGTCAGGGTATAATCTCTTGCTCTTTACAGTACACCTTGCATTTTCCAAGGCACACCACTAGAGAGCACAGAGAAACAGGTTTCTAAAGCAAACACCTCATCCCTGCAGATACTCTTCAAGGACCGAAAAACTCCTTTGTCACAAACGTAAATGGTTTCTCTTTGAGAGAGGCTTCTGCAGCCCAATATGCTATTTTACATTTTAAGGAAAAAAAAAGTTGAATTGGAAATAGTTCATTTGAGAAAAGGAGAGGGAGCACAGTCAAAGTAGAAACAGAAGCTGATAGCTCCATAGCAGACTTAAGCATCTTGGTGATACCAATTTACTACAAACTTACTTTTTAGCAGAGTTTGTGATTAGGGAGATTTGCAAAGGAGAACACCGTAAAAGGTGAATTTAGTTACTGTCACAGTACTTACCAACCCCTTCGTTCTGACAGTCCCTTCCATAGCGGATCTGTGCGTACCATTCTTTCGATCAGCTTTTTCCATAGCATTCCCTCAGAGATGACTCTCTGCCACTCCTTACATACCAGCTCTGCTGCACAGAGTGATCTGGCATCAAGATAGGAAAGGATGTTTTCTGCTATGTGATCTAAGCCTTGCTCTACAAAGAAATAAAGGCAATCAAATGTCAATCACTTCACAGTAAACTACTGAACAAGCTTTGCAATACATTCAGAGAATCCAACACAGCTTTAAGGCACTGGAGCAACAAGGCAATTTAATTATCATACCCAGAAGCACCAGTTACAAATTGATCAACACAGATACATCAAAATCTGTGACACTTCACTCCTTTCCCAGTACAGCGTGCCTGCTGCACTGTCCCACTTCCACAGAGCAAGAATGAGCACAACCCAACATTCAGCAGTGTGCAAGCAGCAGAAAGCATTTTGCTTCTTCTGGGCACAGAATCCTGGACTTTTGAGCACATAACATATTGTGCTACATGATTCATAAAGATGATGATCATCAAGCAGATGCTTTACTAAGCAGCAGTAATAAAAAAAATAAATTCTTTTACTATTTCTTTACACAACAATAATTCAACTCAGAAGACATGACTGCACAGGAACACACAGAGACATAGTCAGAAGAAGTGTGAGCAAAAAACCTGCAAAAACCATCTCACACCAAATGCAAGAACATCTTTTCTGTTTAAGCTCCTTCTACAATCTGCAGGTGCCAAGCCAACTCCTGAATTTTGTTCAGATAGAATCACAGAATCATCATAGAATGGTTTGTGTTGGAAGGGACCTCAAAAGCTTCCAACCCCCTACCACGGGCAGGGACACCTTCCACTAAAGCAGGTTGCTCCAAGCCCCTTTGTCCAACCTGGCCTTCAACACTGCCAGGGATGGGGCAGCCACAGCTTCTCTGGGCACCCTTGTGCCAGCGCCTCAGCAGCCTCATAGGGAAGCTTCTGCACCATAAATTTCAGTGCAAAGTACATTTGGTTTAGCTTCACAAAGATTTCCCAACATATTTGCAATAGCCACATTAACAGATAATACCTTTGCATTTCTCCTGCATCAGCTGCTCTCCCATCCTTGGGACACACTGCCTTCTGTGGCAATGGAGGGATGGGTGAGTGTGTGTACTGTTATCTGAGGACACTAGCTTTACTGGGTCAAAGAATGAGTTCAGCAATGTACCACACAAGAACACCCAAGTAAAACAACATTATTCCAAACAAAAGCCCTTTGGCAGCATTCAGATATCCCAGAAACACCTAGGTGTCCCTACCCATGGCAGGAAAGTTGGAACCAAATGATCTTCAAGATCCCTTCCAACCCAAACCATTCTAGGATTCTATTCCATGATTCTATCTACCCAAGCTCTAATTTCATGCTCTAATTTCACCTGCACCACAAACTATGTTGGTCAACAAGCAATAGTTATTAGTGCACTGGGGAAGCACTAGCTTTCATCATGAAGATCCTCACTACCAGAAACAGCATATTAACCCCTGTGATCCATTGTGGTAGGGTTAGATTTACATACTAAATGCACTCAACACGTCAGCAGAAGTTCAAATATACCAGAATTGGGGTCCTGCCCATTGATCCCCATCTATGTAAGGCAATGTGCTGCAATATATTACTTCATAGCTATCAGTTAATACTTATCCAAAAGCTCTGGATAATTAGGCTGAAGCCTGCTATAAAGAATAAGCACATCAATAAAGACGATGAATACTGTAAGCTGGCACCACAGATCTATGAAAACAAAAACCAGGTGCAATGCTGCATGCATTTGTCTATGGTCTTTGCCTAGACCTTGTCTCTTGCTGAGGGTCTTAGATTCAAAAATGTGATTGTAGTTGAGTAGAGGGACCTACATAGAAACCACTCTGACAATCTAGTTGCACTGAATTTAAACTAGCATCAAATTTTTCTTGCTCACATTCCAACTCCAGTGTCACTGGTCCCACAAAAACAATCACTGGAAAGTCTATCACTTATTTCAAAGGACTTGCAACTTTGCTTTCCCCAAAACTCCACTAGATCAGAGATCTAGAATAACTCCATCTTCATGAATCACGTATGCCAGTTGGCCAAGCATGAAAAACATCTTTCAAACTAGGAGATGACGACCTTTTTAATTTTCCACTTTATCTCATGACAGCCTAATTTAGGCTTCAAATAGCCATGAAAAATCAAAGAAACTACTCTTATTTTAAGAATTAACAAAGTGTGCTCATATAGTCCTCTACTACACACTAAATTTGGCATGGCCTTCCTAAAAATGAACAGCAACAGAAAGGAAAAACCGATACATAAAGAGCGTTTGTTCATTTCTTCTCTAATTTGGAGAACTAGAAAAGGTTTAAAGAATGGTGGAAGCTTCTACCATGTAAATCAGGTTTAAACAAATCTTTCAATACCAGTCATAACAGATTCAAGTAACTGAAACATAACAAGGTCCAAATAATCCGTGGGTCTCAAACCTAACCACTTCCAAAGCAGCAAAGCCTCTCCTATAGCAATACCGTGTCTCAGAGCAGCTTTAAGCTGCACCATTTCCAGACATCATAAAAGCGTTCTTCCAGCCTGCTGCATCTCAGCCTTTCTAATAAATAACAACTTTCAGGTTCTAAATACTGTTTACTTAGGATATATTTGTCTTACTGTGATGTAAGAAACAGTTCTCAAGGTTCTTCCAGAAAATATAATCACTGCAAGGTCAGTTTCAAGAGTCATGAATCCTTGGGTATGAAGGAGACAAATTAATTCATGGTGCAAAGTGGAGGACACAGCTAGATTAAAAAAAATAAGGAAAACAGGTCTGCTGAGTAAGCATTCCTCTGTGAAGGTTACAAGTGTCAACAGGGCACAGGCCGTGTTTTAGCAGGAACAGATCTAACTGTTATTTTAAATTTCAGTACAAAATAGTTGTGTTTGACAACATAAGATCAGCCCATGCAGAGCAAGTACATCATACAGTCTGTTACATCTGTAACACTGGAATCACACAACACAGTCCTCTACATATTTTCCCAGCCCAGAGGACATGACATTTTGAAGAGGACAAGAAAAATGTTTTACATCAAGCATTGCAGTTCCCAAAGCAAACAGTGCAGAGGATATGACAATTAACCACGATAATTCCACCCCTGGCAGTGTTCAAGGCCAGGTTGGACAGAGTCTTGGGCAACATGGTCTAGTGCAAGGCATCCCTGCCCATGGCAGGGGGTTGGAACTGGGTGATCTTCAGGTCCTTTCCAACCCAAACCATTTTATGATTCTATGGTTCTATAATTCAGACTCTGAGTAGAGCCTTACACTGAGGGTGCTTACAAGAGGTGTTTAAGGCTCCTGTTTCACTGCACCATTTTTCTTTCAGTAGCCATTATACAACATCTGAACTTCGCTCACCCTCCTTTTCCCCTCAAGAGAACTAAGTTAGTGCATTCACAATCCTTCCAACATAGTTCAGGAGTAAAGGTGTATTAATACTTGCCTCACGTGGGGACATTTAGTCAAATCATTAATAATAAAAGAGTCTGTAGTGCTATAAAATGACAAAATTGATAATTCAGTTCAACCAGCATCAGATGTTTCAAGACTACACATCAATTATAAAAGTGAATCACTAACTTCGGAAGAAGTTAGAAGAAACTAGGAATAAACACCAAAGTAGGTTACAGGTAAAGCAGCAGACCTAGAAATTATTAAAACAGGAGGAAAACACTCTGATGCCAACAGTATTTCTGCAAAATGAGGCAGAATGACAAGTGTATCAGCTTTCAGAGACCTAGTCATGCTGCCCTGCCCCTTCCATCTGAAAGGCATTTTTAATCAGCAGTGGAGTGGCTGAAGAACAGAGGCACATATCAAACTAATATTTTCTGATAGCCTTAACTCCCCTTTGTTAGAAGAAAGACACACTCCAGCTATGTCTGGGTTCCGAAAAAAGCCAGGAGCACAAGATACACTGATAACAGGCAAAGCTCACAGTGTCTGCACTTTCAAGGAGTAAAACTCTTTACTGGGGCATCTGAAAGACTGCAGGAGAATCAGTAAATGAATGATGCAAAGCTCAACATATAAACTGTCTGTACAGCTGAAGGAACAGCTGTCCCTGGGCACATTTTGGACAAAATGCCACTATCTCTAGTAAAGATGAGGCAACAGGGTTCACGCTGAACAGGTACACAGCCACCTGATTCTTTTCTCATTCCACAGTTGAGAAGTATAATTTTGTCCAATTGGCATCATTTAGTAAAACAATCATCACATATATGCTTACCTTCTGAGAGGAGGGAAACTTAAATGCTTTTAGTCAAAGAGTACTAAGCAAACTTAACTCTGCCCTTATTGCAACCATGTACTTAAAGAAAGGTTCCAAGGCAAAGCAGCCACAGTGGCACTCGGATCTATTGCTGACACCTCACTTAGGGTTTTGAGTGAGTTCTGAAGTGATCATGAACATGTCAGGTGTGCAATGAACAATTCCCAAGGGAGAAAGCAACAAACAGAAGTTACTCAAATGATACTCATGCACAAAATAGTATTTCAAAAGTTTATCTGTTGCTGCCATCTCCTGGCAACAAACTACAAGATTACCCTCCATGCTCTGAGAAGTTGTAAAGTTACCAACAACCAGCCTAATAAGAAGGCTACAGTGCAGAGCATCCTTTGAACTCAAGTGCATGGTTCTGTGGGGTTTTGGTTGGTGGTACATCTGGGTTTTTGCCCCTCTGCTAACATACCTGTGTTATCTTTCAGAAGGCAACGAAGAGGACAGCTTGGGAGTGGAACTTGATCTGCCTCTCAGGGTTAGGACTACTGCATCACTTAGTTTTTGATAGGAGGGAAGTGTTTTTGAATCAAGCACAAACACTTTAGGAGTTTCATATACAGCATACTCCATTACTAGAAACCCCTATGTATTTTAAATCCTTTCTGTGAGTAGGAACGTACACATCACTTAACTAGAGTCAAAAGAATTTGATTTTGATAACAATTATGAGACCATAAATGTATTTGGATCACAGCCAATCAAGATGGTAGCACACACCAGGGCTGCCTTTCCATCCTAAACCTTCTGGCACCAGGCAAACATTGGGTTGCTGAAGTACATGGTTTTATGGATTTCTATTTAGAAATGAATGTGATGTCTGAATGATACCACATATGTATTCATCAACATATGTTCAACTGGTTTTAGTTTGCCTTTCCTTGTGAAATACTACTTTCCAAAAAGATAGTTATTCAGATTAAATGCAGTTGCACAGAATTGATTAAGAAAAACAATACATGACTCAGAACATTTTGCCATTGTTCAGTCTTTCACACAACTGCCTTTGATAGAGCAGTAACAATCCTCTGAAAAACAGTTGTGAAAGTCTGGATCCAAAGCCACCTCTCATGCTTCAAATCTGGAAATGGAATCTGAATGACCAAGGTACCACCAGCAATTCATCCAAAAGCTACATCTTTCCTGGAAAGAGCAATCTTGCCATTTCTGCCTGTCAACAAGATGATCTGAAGCTGAGGTGAGGAGCTGGTAAACCACTGCTGAGGCACCAAGAGTTATAAATGCCATTACTCAGACAGAGAGGTAGAAAACTAACAGTGCCACCAGACAGCTGGCCCCAGCATCCCAAAACAAAGCTTCTCCTCGAGTTCAGGGAACAATGCAACAAAGACTATGCTCCAGAATGCAAACAGGACTGAGAATCACAATGGTATGGTGCCTTTCTATGGCATGTGCAGAACCCAGAAGTATCAGGCTAAGTCCCGGGTCCTTCTCAAAATCCAATTTTAAAAAATCATTTTACTGTAACTCATACCAACCATTTAGAGACAGGGCCAGAACACAGTTCCTAAGGAGGGTCATCTCCAAATAATCTCAAAGTACAAGGACAATCTGCCCTCATAAAGTGACATCTGTTTTCTACACGTTAAGGATGTTCTCAAGCAGATTTAGACTTGACTGCCCATCTACAGGAGGATGATTTATGGAACTAACAGACCAAACCCAAACGTGAGAGACAGAAAACCCAAGTGACAAGTGCTCAGCTTCTTTTTATTCTCTTCACTAACACAAGGCTTTTTCAGAACATTACTTATGCTGTAATTCTAGTACCAAGCATTCATTAACATTTAACTGAACTAATCCAAGGTTCTCAATAAAAGCTAACTGCAATCAGCAAACACATTTCCACAACAGCATATGCATATCAACTGGAGTCCAGAGGAGGCCACGGAGCTGCTGCGAGGGCTGGAGCAGCTCTGCTCTGGAGCCGGGCTGAGAGAGCTAGGCTGGGTCAGCCTGGAGAAGAGAAGGCTCCTGAAGGGGACACCTTAGAGCAGCTCCAGTGCCTAAAGGGGCTGCAGGAAACCTGGAGAGGGGCTTTGGACAAGGGCCTGGAGGGACAGGACAAGGGCAATGGCTTTAACCTGCCAGAGGGGAGATTGAGATGAGCTCTGAGGCAGAAGCTCTTCCCTGTGAGGGTGCTGAGGCGCTGGCACAGGGTGCCCAGAGAAGCTGTGGCTGCCCCAGCCCTGGCAGTGTTCAAGGCCAGGTTGGACACAGGGGCTTGGAGCAACCTGCTCTAGTGGAAGGTGTCCCTGCCCGCGGCAGGGGTTGGAATTGGACGAGCTTTAAGGTCCCTTCAACACAAACCATTCTATGATGATCCTATGATTCTATCTGAACTGTATACTTTTAAATCTTAAAGCCTGGTCTTTATGAAGCCAGTATTCCATTGAGTTTTAAGGATCAATTGTGAATTACTAGGCAGAAGCCCTTTATTAAAATGCATAATTTTTACAATTCTGTGTAAAGCTGGTCACAGTTAAAACCGCATTTTTAACAAGTCAGAAACTTAAGTGTTTTCTGATGTTAAAACATGGCAATCTCATCTCCTATGAATACACAGAGCCTTGAAAGTTGCATACCAAGCACAAACACAGAAATGCTTTGCTTTGCCACCAAGTCTATTCTTAAGGTTTTTATAGCTTGCAGAAGCACACAGATTTAAACTGCTCACATTAAAAAGAGACATCAAGTAAAATATTTACCCTAATTAACATAGTAGGAACAGGTCCAAAGCACAGATACTTAAGATAGACTTGCTATCATTATTCCAGACACGCAGGACTAAGTTGAAGACACATTAAGGCCTGAAATAGCTGCATGTACCTATTTTACATTAAGAGACACTGAATATTTAGCTGTATGAACAGTCTCTGAAATAGGTACTAAAACCTATCAATTTTCTTTAGTAAAATGCATTCAGTATTTACTGCTCTTTAAAGCAAAAAATTATGCCCAAATCTTACGCTTCTACAAGAGTTTCTGAAGTTCTATAGAAAATGGGGAAAAAAACCAGCAGTTGTTGATTATAGGTACCAGATGAAGGTTTGGTTCCATTTCAATAATAAATTAGAACAATTAAAATCCACAGGGATTTCAAAGCTCAATGTGTAAATATCACTTTGTATGAAAATGAAACCCAAATGTGGGGTGTCAGCTCTCTAAAGCTGACTAACATCAGATATGAAACAGTCACTCAGATCATGCAACTGCACAACTTTTATGGTTTTAGAAACAAATTTCAGAAGCAGCCTGGCAGGGCTTGACTTGCCTGACTCAGTGTACAGCTCTCTTACAGCTTTAACACACAAAGCACATATGGAAGGGACTTTCTTTCCTAATCAAGGGTGAAACGGCAGTGCTCAAGGGTCAAAGCAGTAATTCGTTTAAGGAAAAGGCACAAGTTGGATGGGACCATGAAAGGAATATTATGATAAACATCTTAAAGACAATTAAGAGAATCAAAAGCATAGAGGTAACTTAAATTATTCCTGCAATTATGCCATCCATTATACTCCACTGTCTTTTGACATGCTAGAGGAAACACTGTTGGCAGCTGTGGAAAAACAACGAGTATAGATCGGCTTCTGAGTTGCTGTCCTCTTGCAATAGCTGATACAACATTAGCCATACCCCACGATGATGATTAGCAGCAAAGAGCCCAACTACACAGCCCAACTTGTAAGATCAGACCCTGTAGACTAAACATTCTGCTACCACTTACTAAAAAGCACACCAAAACTATCACTTTTTCCCCTGAAGAAAAAGGAAGTCAGATACCACAAACTTCTCCCATTTTTCCTGTATTCTCCCAGGTGTGAAATCAGTAGGGACATTAAAACTATTTCCATTAAAAATAGAATAAAATAAAATTTATTTCAGACAAGTGAAACTATCTTTTAAGCTCCCCATGACCCGGCTTTAATGTGTACTCTAAGCCCAGAACCCCATCGTGTGCAGGGCTGCACCCCCAGAGTGTGAGCAGCAGGTCGGGG